GAAATAGGGAAATTGCATGTATTTTAAACGGCAAACTTCTCCTCGTTACAGGGAATGATTAGGATCGGATTAGAAAGTTCAAAGTTGGCTTCAAAATTTTTTTTTTTTTTCGAATCGAATGGGAGGGGCGGCACAATTGAAATTCGAAAATCGTGCAAATAAGTACCACCCTAGTGTATACACTTAAAAAAACTTAAAATTTTACATTAATTCTATAAGTATATAGTTTTGATATGAATGCGTTAAAGCTTTCGTGGATTGATATATCGTTTGAAAAAGTTTCTGATATATCTACGTCACTAGTTATATGCCGACGTTTCGGACTCTTCGCAGAGCCCATCTTCAGGGCAATAATGGTCTCGACTGTTCAGCTGCCGTGGCCATACTCATTTGCATATAACTAGTGACGTGGATATATCCGAAACTCTTTCAAATGATACATAGTTCTGTTCAATAGATACAATAAAAAAAACACTTTTTTATAAAATTATTCAAACATACGTAACAACAAAAAAATGCCATTTTTAAAAAGTGACTTTGCTGGTTTTTTCTGTACCCTCCATTTACATACATCTTAATTCAAATGTACAAATGTACATAAGACACGGTGGGGTAAATTTTTTAATTTGTCAAGAGTAGACGCCGCTGTCAGACGTCCCGGGAAACTCGAGTGGCTAATACTTTAGTTTAGCTTCAATTTAATACTGTGAATGCAGCCAGGCGCTCACACAAAAGCCTTTTAAACTATCCTAACGTGTTTTTAATAAGTGCTTAATTATTTTCGTCCCTTTGAATTGACATGTCGATGGGAAATGTTTACTGCGACGGTCTTTGATAAGCCGCGTGTCAGGCCCATGCTCTTTTGTTTCTACTAAATAATTAAATCGCTTCCGACTGTTGTAATATCCTACAACACAAAATAAACGGATATCGATTTTATAACCGTACAGCCGTCTAGTGCGTATGGTATTTACATCAGGGGTGGCTATAGTAGTTTTAATGTGTAGCAAAAAGTAGGACTAAAATCAGTCTGCTAAGATAGAAGAAAATAATCATCGTTCAATATATCGTGGTGATAGGATATCAATGATAACAGTATTTTGAAAAAATATTGCTTTTAAATTCGATAAAATATAATATAAAATGTATTATTATTAACTTGTATATAAGGTATATAAGTTTTAGCTATTTATTTGTATTAATTAACCACAATGCCTAGCTGTTTTATTTGTTCAACAATAGACTTTTTACTTCGCTCTTGCATACAAGCTAGTATAGGTATGTATTTCATCTCTTTATATTATTACTCTATGGTCGGCACCCACTAAATCAGTTCTAGGGGTATATCTAAAACCCGGGATGGAATGACAATTTTTCCATAATGCAGTGTACCCACTAGGACAAAAATATATTTTTTTATATATCACATATTTTATTCCATAGTCTGACGGGACTTAGTATATTTAAATAAATACTCACATTTAAATGATGGGACTTGAATAATATTATTCTAATAACCCCCCTTGTACATTTTATCACATACCTACCCGATAATAGTATTTCAATAATTATGCGTCATATTATTTATTGTCTAATGAATGAATAAAACAATAATGGATGAATAAAACAGTATATTTATTTATAATGTTGTATTATTTCATGAAAATGGACAGTTTGTTTTGCGATTTGGCCTATCTTTCTTATCTTAAGAATGCTGAAATATTTTGTCTAATTTTTTTAATTTCATTTAACTAAATTTTTTTTAGATAGCTCTTTTGTGTAAGAACCATAATGATATTCGTTAGTCATCGGTGTTAGTTGATTTAATTTCTACCCCATGACTCTTTAATATAATATGTTCAGTATATTTTTAAAATTAAAAAAAAAAATTGCCTACAGTTTTGGGTTAATGTAAAATGTACTTAATTAGGTTTTCAATGACAAGACCAAAATATTATGTTTACAGTATACACTGATTGCAATTATACGTATAAAAGAATATTTTGTTGTTATTAATTTAATGGTTTTTATCTTTAATTATTAAACACAAAAATGTAGTCTTTTCATAATGAAGTGTAAGACCATTGTTATAAAATCATCATGTAGTGTCATTAATATTATAATTAGCATTATGATTTATGTTACAATATCGTATAATTTAAACTAAGTTAGACTTACTGTGACTTCGACAAAAGTAAGGAAATATACCTACTCCACAGTATTCCAGTTGCTTACTAAGAAACTTGAGAAATTCACTAACGGATAAATTCAGTGCTGCGCGTGTACTTCATTAAAAGTTCCAAATTATAAACCTAATATGATTGAATTGGCTTTAAGCGTACAACCGAACAAATCACATAAAGCAATTATTCAAGTACTTTAGTCTTAAATTTATTCGAATTAATTATTTTGAAAATTTTTCGAATAATTAAATTTGAAAAAGTTATTCGAATAACTTTCACTCGAATAACGTGTTATCTAGATGATTATTTGGATAATGTTTTATTCGAATGATGCATGACACAACAATACCATATTATTATAAAATAAGTGTCTTGATATGTGTTGTTATTGGATTTGCAACGTATTTCTACCTGTCGCTGTGATTTTTCTTTTTTCCGTAATCTCATACTTTTGCATCATCATGCAAAACGAAAAGTTAAGTGGTTATATTAATAATAAATAACTGTTACTATTATATTTATTTTATTATTCATTTTTTAGATATTATAGAACTTTAAAATGTATCCTGTATCTTAAGAACATCTATTATACACGTAAACACCCACATCATTTTTGGGGGGCTCAGTGTAATGTCGGGTGTTCCTTGGCTTTAGTGGTTCGTCCCGAAGGGATCCCCTACGACCGCGGACCGACTAGTAGCACTGGGTGCTAATTGCGGGCCGGGGAAGGTGTGTCTCAAGAAGAAGTGACCTGTTAAAAGGCCACTTAACGGAGGGCTCTACGTCACTTTAGTCGCCTTTTATGGCAGGTGTGAGGCCTTTGGTAGAATTCTTTCTTCCCTGACCACAGGGATAATAGTGTAATGTCACTCATATTGAGATAATTAATGCAATAATGAATAATGAAAGAATTACACTCATGTGATGATAAAAAATAATCACTATTACAGCTGCCGCGCTGATAATTTGGTAAATCAGCCACTACCCGCCAGGTAAAAGCTTAGACGCCCCCGCGCCTTCGTCACCCCAACCACCGACGCCGACGGCGCGGCGAGGGGGCTGAACGCAGACACCTCCGTCACCGCCACTATAACCGCCGACGGCGAAGGGACCAGACGCAGACGGCGTACACTGCCGTCCGACGAGTCACGAGGCTAACCGAGACCGTAACGCCGGCGACCTACCTAACCTAACCGTATATAACTTACCCCTAACAGATCGATGACAAAATATGCATTTTGCCTCGCGACGTTTCGCAACGCTGTGCAACGTTAAAGTTTATCAGCCACTACCCGCCCGTCCGAATCAGAGACGCCGCCGCCGACAGCGTACAGACAAGCAGCAGACCATGCCGCTGTCGGCCGACGAGTAACGATACTGGCCGAGACCGTAACACCGGCGACCAACCTAACCTAACCGTATTTAACTTCACCTTCAGAAGAGCCGATCGATGGCAAAATATGCAATTTGAACATTTTGCTGCGCGACGTTTCGCTACGCTGTGCAACGTTGCACGGCTATGCAGGTCCTTGACAATTAAATGAAACGGCTACACTTCAAAACGTCACGCGACAAATCCCCGCCCAAAAAAAAATCGCCTCTCATTGACGCCAACATTAACAAAATGTGTATACAATACACAACAACTAATGATATTTATTGTGCGGCCAGCATCACATATTATTAAGGAGTAAATAGTAATGACCCATCTCATTTGACCATATATATATATATAAATATATATATATACATATAAAAAAAATGATCTTTTAGTCAAGTAATAATTATTGTATAATATACAATGTATATTGTTTATAGATCCTGACTTTTGCGGTCCGGTTACTACAGTTAATTTGATTGACAAACGGTTAACGCCAGGTAAAAACTGAAAACCAACTGTCGTCTGTCGTACACGGTACACATAATACACTTATACTAGTATTGATTATAATATTATCGTTATCACTTGCCGCCTATCGCGTTATCAGTTAAAAAAAAAATTGTTATCTTAACCCGGTCCGGGTTGGTCCGAGTTACAAAATAATATTTTACGTGTCGGTCCGGTCCGGATAAGTAGTATTTTTCAATTTCATGGTCCGGTCCCATTTTATTAGGACCGCACAGACCTCTAGTGCCTGGGTATCATTAAAAGTGTTGATTCAGATGGTGCTAGTGTAAATTCAATGGAAAATAGGAAGTTATTTTATTGGTGGCGACTGAAGGAAAATATTATGTTTTTTAAGTAGAATGACATGCTAATGAAAATAAAACCACCACAGCTAGTGAGACGGTAACTAATTTAAAATTGAAATGCACTAAAATTGTCCATACTTCCAAAAAATCTACAGTTGAACTAAGCTGTGAACATTATTTATTAAATCAGTTTTATACACCTCAACCATATATTTTTAGATGTTTTAAAACATTTTCAGTTAAATACAAATGTTTTAATAAATAGCTGTTCAATTCCTATACAAAATTTTTAAAAAAACTCTTTTAATAAAAATACCTCATTAACAAACAAATAGAAGCTTTAAATACAAATATAATAAATAATACAATTAAATTTATATTATAATCACCACTTGCCTTTCAAAAGAAGACTTGTAACTTCTTTAATTTTAAAAATATTTTCTACAAATTTGTATGTTCCTACCAAATTGTTTTTTTTAATATCAACTAATATTACTAATATGCTATGGTTATGACCTAATTAATTTACGCCAATAATCATTAGTCCTTACAATATATAATACACAGGATATATTTTTTACTATCTAGAACATATTATTGATATTAATTTTACAAATATCCTACCGTTAAAGAGGGTAGGGACAGCATTATCCGTTAACCTGTTTCTACGATTAACATTCAGGACCATATTTTTGTCTTCAAAATAATCTTTAACAACAACGTTTTTGTCAGCCACTTCGGGGACACCATTCTCAATCCACATCGCACGTCTAGAACAATAAAAAGTATATCAGTATAAATACGTCTTTATGTGATGTATTACATAATTAAATATTTTAAAAAGGTAAGGCATTAACAAACAAATAGAAGCTTTAAATACAAATATAATAAATAATAAAATTAATTTTATATTATAATCACCACTTGCCCTTCAAAAGACTTGTAACTCTTTAATTTTAAAAATATTTTCTACAAATTTGTATGTTCCTACCAAATTGTTTTTTTAATATCAACTTTTGAAACTAAAAAAAGGTAACGTTTATGTTTTATTAAATTAAGAATATTTTACCTAAAGTGTTGACTAGTTGATAACCAGTTTTGAACCACTTTTTTTCAAAGTTATACAAGTTTAAAAGTTAGGGCGGAAGAAGAAGTATGCGCAAATAAAAATAATACTACTAATATGCTATGGTTATGACCTAATTCAGTTACGCCAATAATCGTTAGTCCTTACAAAAATATAATACAAATACAACATACAAATATATTATACACAGTATATATTTTTTACTATCTAGAAAATATTATTGATAATAATTTTACAAATATCTTACCGTTAAAGAGGATAGGGACAGCATTATTTGTTAACCTGTTTCTACGATTAACATTCAGGACCATATTTTTGTCTTCAAAATAATCTTTAACGACAACGTTTTTGTCAGCCAGTTCGGGGACACAATTCTCAATCCACATCGCACGTCTAGAACAATAAAAAGTATATCAGTATATAATACTTTATGTGATATATTACATAATTAAATATTTTAAAAAGGTAAGGCATTCTTGTCATGTGCTGTCTACCGCTGTCTTATTAATATCCAACACTCAATACGCAGCCAAACGGTCTCCGCATTTGATTAAAAATAGCGAATTGCAGAAGTAGAAAGAAGACAATAAGAATACCGAAGTTAATTTAAATATTCTAACCTTTCAGAGTCCTTCGGTAACGTGAAGTGACTAATTACATATTTAGCTGAATGAAGCGAATTTCTATTCTTACAGTATTTCACACCACATTTGCGGTATGAAACACTTTTTGAATTGTTCATAATTGAAATAAAAAATCGCACAAACAAACCGGTGCAAAAGTTAACAATAACAACAAATAAATATATTAGAAATTGAGAAATGTATTAATATTTAATTGGGCATCCGGCATTCGCCATCGCCCATCTGTAGACTATAGGTACATAAATTAATCAATACCGCACGAGTGTGAAACTTCAAACTATAGTACGTTTCACGGAAACTGAGACTCGACTATAGCGCGCCCGGGCACTAAAATCAATACAGCTACTCAACATGATATAGAGTGTAGGCTATTGTACACAGCTAAACGGATTTTAAGTATTCAGTCGAGTATAACACGATCAAAATAATAATCAATAAATACCGTAGGCAAAATAATAACGGACATTTCGTACGCTATTTTGTTATAATAATATGTGGAATTTTATTTTTGAGTATAGGTACGTACGGCTCGCAAGGGAGCATTACGATAAGAAAATAAGTTACGAGTAAAATGCGAATATAACATGTACAATAGGCACTGCAATAAAAAAAAATTAAAACAAATATAAGGAAAAAGTTGAGGTATGAGGTTTATAAGGTGTATTGGTTAAAAAGTTTTATAAATAAATTCGATATTTACGTATTGCAGTGCAATATTCAATATTTCAATTGGTTTTGCTGTTTACCGTCAGCCCGCTCATATTTGAAAGTCAAAGAGTATATCATTTATTTTAACTATGTCACACAATACTCGTTACCAGACCATAAAAACAATTTTTAATGTTTATAATTATTTAAAAAAATTATGAATTGAAAAATATATATTGAGTTCAGTGTTTTGGCCCATAAACCTATAAATAAAATTAATTAAATATGTTAAATATTAAAATTTCGTTATCGGGTATTATCATGTTACTATTTTTCCGTGATATTATATTTTCTTCAATGCCATACCTAACAAATATCTCTGTCTCTTTATAACGATATCGATCTCTCTCTCTACTCTCAGTCCATTTCTTTATAGGTCTATGTTTTGGCCACATTCGGTTATCAAAATCGTCGTCGATTGACGATTAGTGTAAAATGTAAATGAGCCGTTTAATAAATTGTCTTCAGCTAATAGCCATTGATTAAATACATTTTGTATTTACCTACACAGCTACCGCCTACTATAAGTGGCTTTAGCTGGCCTTTAAAGTACAAAAAAAAGTCGTTAAATTTTCTTTTTACAGTGTATTTGAGATACGAATTAACGCGGGTAACAACTAAAACGCAATTATTTTTCGGACAAGGTAATACGTTTTATCTACAATAAACGTTCGAAATTCCATCGCATCATTTCAGTTTTTTGATTTCTAGATCCAAATGCATCGTCCACGTTTATGATGACTTCGTCGGTCGATCTCTTATACTAGAAAACAAGAAGCGGCATTATATGGTGAGTAAAATGAATCTAATATTGTGTAAATTGTTTGTATGCTCGGCTAAGTGCTGTTTTTCATTTCAACGCAACACTTTTTTTTGTCCGCTTGATAACCGATTGTCTATTGACTGTTTAACGCACAACTGTATCCATCTTTATAATATTTCTCGAATTTGTTTCCAAAAAACTGTTATTTTTCTAGTACAGTATTTGATTAGGCATTGCAAACAATTATTAGTTTTAACTAGCCTATAAATTTAATGATAAAAATCTTAACATTTAAAGCGTATGTATTTTAAAATATAAATTTATGATAAGTCCAAGCTACTGCATCAACTATACTATTATATTTGTTTCGGTGACATAATTACTAACGTTACAAGAATGATAAATGTATACTATAGTTCCATTCTGTAGAGTAGTCTATGGCAGTCCATCATGTATAGTAAACTTGACACATAATATTTTTGTGATTTTCAGTCAAAAGCATTGTCAATTTATTTTAATTAAATAAAAATTAGGATAATATAGTAACAAATATTGACGAATCCCCAAGCATCTCTGCGTGTGTCATACATACCTAATAACTAATATAGCTAAGTTTTTGACATTTGTTTGCTTTAAGCTTATTCTAAGTTAGACAATATGTTGATGACTCGGAAAACTATAAAAAAAATGATCAGCGTGACTGGAAATGAAACACTTGTATCTTGCCTGCTGGGCAATTAATCTACCACAGACTTTTCGACACAATCTTCATATCTTTGATTCTTTATAGCTTTGTAGTTACTAAGTTTGTTAGTAGTTAACCCAATTACAGATAAACAACTGCACACTATATAATATGTCTTACACATTTATATTGTATTTTACACTAAAGTTTACCTAGAAGTTATAAACCATATTATTAAATATGTACAAACTGTATAAGAAATACCAAGAAGCCACCATTTTTTATCAAAATCAACTCGAGCTTTAGTTGTATGATATTATGAATGATTATAATGTGCATATAATATGTGATAATTTGATACCTACTTGACATTACTTGAAATTTATAGAAGTTTCATAAATTCAATCATTATAAATAATAACATTATTATATAACCATAAATAAACTTTGAATTTTTGTTTTTTTACAGATCAAAATCACATTCAATATACATTATAATTTGATTTAACGGACGCGACTGTAAATTAGTAATAATATTGTGCACGAAAACAAACACAAAAATCATCATGGTTAGTATTTATTGTTGAAAGTTAATTAATTTAAAAAGGTATTGCAGGAAGTTAATGCCAAACCGTTAAATAAGTATTCAAACAGATAATAATAGGAATAATTTAAACTAACCCTTAACTACTTACAATATTGAAAACCCATAATATAACGGTAATTTTATAATATCCTAGTATTGTAGTTGGAGATTTCTAACATTAAATTCAATTGCTTTTTTTGCAAACAATATTTGTTTATATTTTGGTTCTTGTTCATTTAAAATGGTTATTGATGTACAATAATATCAATATTTATAAATGGTTGGGGTTTTTCAGTGGTGGTCTCTAGGTTCTATGTAGTTGGCAAGCAGATATCAAATTATGATAATGACCATTAGCATTACTTTCCTTCCTCACAAAATCACCTACCACTGTAAAAAGATAATCTCCTAATGTAATAATGATAATCTACCACTATTTAAACTGTATAAATGGTCATTCGGAAATCTTTCTTTGGGAATACTCACTCGACCGCAAGGTACTCAGGTTTTTGAAAGCAATTGATTAAGACTAGGGATATTATTCGACCGGAGTATAATTCTGAGAAATACTATATAATTTGAGTACTATTTGTCAACCAAAGATTTGCACCCTTATTATTTCCATTTTATTATTTATGTACAAAAAACTAATTTTTTACATTATTCTATTGGTGTAACACCTCAATAATTGTTTAATGGATAATTGTGAGTTTCTTCTTTACATTTTAATGAAATCTAACACACAACTGTCATGTTAATGTATTAATTGTTTTAAGTCATACAATACTTATAATTGTGACTGTGAATTTTTTTTTATCTTAACACAATGGTGTATAGTTTATAATTAATTTCCTTAATACGCTATTTACAAATTATAAATATATGTACGTATTTTTGATCCTGAACAGTTTAAATATAATTATGTAAAAATATCTTATTGGATTATATTGTTACGTTAAGTGAGAACACATACTTTTAGTAAACTATTTTCATTTTTTTTATTTACTCTAAGGTAAAATAGTAATGTGAACACATAATTTGACATTTTTATTAAAAACATCAAGGTACACTATTTTATTTAGGCTTCACAATCTATATTTTAAGTCCAGCAAACTTTTCAATGCATGCTATTGTTATATTTTTATATAATTATAAATATTCTAATTGGAAAGCATTATAGTTTTTTTTTTTTTAATGCAATTGTTTAACTCTTACAAACTTATTTTTTGATGTAGTCTAATATTGTTTTTATGTGATTAGGTGAATTTGGTCGAACCTCCACTTCTTGCTGTCGGTACTGAGGTCAGTGCCTAGTATAAAGGAGCATTTTGTGATGCAAAGATCAGGAAAACCTCAAAATCAGTAAAATGCAAGGTTAGTTTATGATATATATATATATATATATACATATACAGGTTTTGTGTTTTAGCAATATGTGCTAAATCAAAATTTAGTATGATCAAGAAAACATGCGTTTCTTTTTTTGTAGATTGGTGCAAATGTAATGAAAAGAAAGAGTTATAAGAAGGAACAATTCAAAAAATACAGGACTATTGTCAAAACACTGTTGGTACGACAAATTTCTAAAAGTTTTATTATTTTATTAGTTATTATTTTTGATATTTTAGACTTTTAAATGTATTCAATATTTATTTTTTATCAAAAAAATCTTTGTACAATTTATTTTTACTTAATTCTTAACTGTATACTAAATAATTTAAATAAACTTAGTTTAGCTGTTAAATAATCTTAATTGTTTAAACAATTGATGCTCTTTTTTATATTTCAATAGTTAGGTATTGTATTCAATGATTTTAAGTTTTAACAAAAGGTTTTATGTAGTGTGAATAATCTTATTTTGATTGATTTTTTACAGGGAAAGTGGAGAGGAAGACATTTTAGAAATGGAAGAAAAAGACATTGGTAACATGGTGTGCATAGAGTTCAATAACAAAAAAAAAGTCAGAGACAATTGGTTTCCCGGGTTAGTGCTAGCGCCTACTGCACAATTTGCAGTCAAAACAAACGTTTTGGAAGACTACTTGGTTCGTTCTTTTAAAGATGGAAAATAGTGAGTTGATGAAATAATTCTAATTGAATTTAATAACCTATTAATGTGTTTATTTTTATAAATTAACCATAACAACACTTCCATTTGCAGCTGTACAGTTTTGAAAAAAGAAATTACAGAATTTACAAAAGAAATAGCCCCCAAAGTAGAAAATCCTACTTTAAAAACGGGTATTTATTATAATTATAGCATTGTTATTTTATTTTTATAAATATCTTTTCGTTAATACAATTCAAATTTCTATAGCTGTTGAAAAAGCGATTTTATATCTGGACAAAGATGAACTTCGGCCACATTAGGACCGTGACTTACTGTTTGGACTCGAAAAAAACTGTGTCATGACAGTGAAGGCGTTATAATATTGATGTAAAAAATTAAAATTTAATACATTTCTGTTTGGTAATTAAGGCAGAAGTTAGTTAGTTTTCTTTATAAATTTTAGGTAATTCTTTTTTTGCCACGTTTGCAATATAATTTTCCATCTTTGTTAACATTGTTAGTCAAATAACTGAACCGCTTTTACAGATAATTCCGCTTTGACTTATCATGTTCTGTTATAATGCTACAGATTTATTTTTATCCTTTATCTGTTTACAATAAAATTATCAACATTTCTTAGAACTCCAATTAAGAATCTATTGAAGACCCTTTTGGGCACTATTATTCAATGTTATGGATGTCCGAGGGACACCTATAAAAACCAAGCACCCATGATTAACGACAAAAATGTTGATATGTACAAACTGTTCAAGGTATTTAATCAATATTTAATTTAGCCTAAAGTACACGTTAGCGTAAAGAGAATCTATTGAACATTCAATTGGGTGTTTAATGATTGTCAGTACAGTAGCTGTTAATAAAACTAACTGATACAGTGTTTTATTATGTTGACACAATTTTCAAAATAGATTCGAAGAAAATATATGTTTGAATTGCTTTTGGTGTGTTATTAAGTTATACATGATAGATTGATATTGATTGATGAATCTTATGCAATGTTTATTATAATATCATGATGTGGCTTAACGGGTCTTGAAGGTCTAACTCTGCCATCATGAGATTGTTTCTAGATGAATTCGCTGTCCGGAACGGATTGTCAGTCCGAAGATGTATGCAAATTATTCAAACATTTTTTAAATTACTAAACTAAATGAAATTATTAAATTCGATTTATACTAGTATTAAAATAGTTGATATATTTATGGACAAATAAATTATCTTTAACGGGATACTTAAGTTTTAAATATATTTAAATAACTATTTGTACAGAAATTGTAACAATGATGTGTTATGTGTATATAAAATATAGAATTCAGTTGTCGTATTCTTAGTGTTTTATTATGTTTTAGGTTGTCATTAACTTGGGCGGTTTTAACAAAGTCAGTAAATGTTAACAGTGGATAACTGGCACAAAGGATTGGCCACAAACCGTGTTTCTTCTGTCAAACAATATTACCTACAGTAAGTGTATGTTTGTAATATTAAATATCGCTAGTATACCACGAACAAATAAACAATATTGTAATAAACGTGTAACTTTATTAAAAAAAGAACTACCCTTGTAAACTTAAAAACAATAATATAACATCCTGTTTGGAAAAAATCAATTAATAATTTATAAATGTTTTTATAAAACCGAAAAAATTAATGCACTTTGAATTTATACTTAAAAATTATTACAATACGAGTTATGATGTATGTGAAATTAATTTGATGAACAGCGAATGATAATAAGTACTTTGTTTGTACTAGGTATCTACATAGTATTGAAGATTTCTACCAAAAACTCGGCTGCTTGATGATAAGTCATCTTAGAGGAGTGAGATCTGGAAGCAGATTTAGTCGCAGTATCATTCATGATGTGGATAAAGCGTTACCCTCTAGCAGTTTTGATAAGAACAGGCAAACGACTATTGCCATTAAATTAGAACCTAAGGAATAAAAAGAAAAAATAGAAACTTTCATAAAGGAAGCCGATATTGTCAAAGAACCGGTGACACCAAAAAAACCTTCCAAAACTTTAAAAGTCGAAGACAAGGTTGCTTTAACTATGAAGAGTAGTGATAAACATGTTGCTAAGAAAGTAGATAAGAAAAAATACAGGCCTGAAACAATCGGAAAGAAAACGGAACCGTTTGTCTGAAAAAAAGCCTTTGAAAACCGTAAGGGTAGAAGAGAAGGTGGCAGCAACATTAAAGAACAACATTGAAATTCCACACAAAGTTGACAGAAAAAAAGAAAAGTCTGAAATCGTTTTGAAAGAAAAGGAAATGGCTACTGAGTCTGTGACTAAAAAGCCAAGTAAAACGAAAATAGAAGAAACAATTACTTGTTCTGGTAATAGTGCTCGAAACAAATCTACTGTTAAGAGTGACTCTGTACTGGCTGAATCAAAAGATCTTCCTAAGGACAGCAAGGTTAAAAAGGAATTTAAAGAAGCTACCGTTTAAAAAAAAAGGAAAATGATTGAGGAAAAACGCCATTATTTAAAAAATCCAAAGAGAAGCTTCTGCTAACCAAATTACAGCCAAACCAAAAATCGAAGAGGAACTACCAATGGTGAGCTATTAAAATACTTTTGTTAATAATGTGGGTTTTTTTTTAATGACTAGTCAAATTCCTTTTATATTGTTCAGTAATTTCAACTCACTAAATGTTCAAACTAACTAGGTATTTTATTGTTATGGAGATATCTGAAAAAGCAATAAACTTGTTTAAGTATTGGGTGGCTTTAATTTTATGTTTGAATATAATGAATTATCCAAATAATTTGGTTATCAATAAATAATTCAGGGATTCACAAAGAATTAATAGAATAATTCAAAAAATGCCATCAAACACTTTTTGTCTTAATTTTTTTTTTTTATTCATGAACAATATGATTACTAATCTGTAATTGATAGTTGTACACAGATAGTTCGTGATGTTTTGCCAAATTAATAATCGAATACATTTTATTCTTGTTTTTATTCAGTATTACCATTCGTTGTCGTCAACGCTGTCGTCCGAAGACGAGCAGATCCAGCTCAAGAAGAGAAGAATCGTTGATGACAAAAAACTGTCGTCGTTGCTGAAGAAACGGGGTGAAGAATCCAAACGTTGATTGCGTCATACACAAGCCTAGCACGAGCAAAGGGTTTTTCTACGCCATGCGCCATCAACCTTAACAGCAACCCGATCGCGAACATCATTTCTACGAGTCCAAATCGCCTTCCAAAACTGAGGCGGTAGCGGTTTGTACGAACCAAGTTCGTCTAAGGTTAATTTGTTTAGAACCCGAAAGCAAACGGTACAATCATAGCAAAATAACAATTCCTACTAAAGATGGTAAACCGCTGGTTACGTTCAGTAAGTATAACTTAAAATAATTATCGCTGATTATACCTAACCGTGACATACCGTTTGTTACGATATTAATGTTGACGTTTTTTTTTTCTATTTTAGCACCAGAGATGGATTCGGCTCAACGTCAAGCAGTGATTTTTTTGTATAAAATCAACAAACTTCAAAAAGATTACACCACGGACAAAGCACGCATTGTAGTGCTGGATCGCAGGAGAAAGAAGATCAGGAAACGCAAGAGGGAACTAGCAAAGAGAACAGCCGCAGTGAATCCGAACAAACAGTCGACAGCTGTTGCAACCAAATAATTCTCTCACCTAATAACAATACGTTTTTGTATTTAATGTTTTTAATAATAACCCCCTTAGTTGTACATAATTGTCAGAGTGGCTCCGTAATGACAATGATTTGTTATGAATGTGTAATGTGTTGGAACTTTCGCGGATTGAAATATCACATGAATGATTTTCGGATATATCTACGTAAATAGTTGTTTACCGACGTTTCCGACTCTTTGCAGAGTCCATCTTCAGGGTTATGTCACGACTATTCCGCTGTACAGTCACGACAGCGAAACAGTTGTGACATTACCCTGAAGATGGACTCTGCAAAGAGTCCGAAACTACCATTGACGCGGATATATCTGAAAATCATTCATGTGAATTGATTTGTTGTTAATATTAATATTATTTATTCATATTAACTAATTATTTTTCATGTTCCTCTGTAGTGTCGGTTAAACCGTTTTTTTTCATGTAAGCGCCTGATCTTACTAGACACGCTATTGTTGTATTATATTAAATAATAATAAAAATTGAGGCGATCAAATATCTTTTATCAAATTTTTTAATTGTACTTTATATTTTATCAAAATTTACTAGGTATTATATTTAGATAATATTTGGATAGAAATTTAAAAATGTATTTTTTACATAATATAACACCTGTTAATATCAAAACCAATAATAATTCTCTATCGAGGTATTGAAATTGGCGAATTAAAAAATTATACTAACTTACATTTATATTCATAAAAATTTAAATAACAACAACATAATCATAATATACGAATGAATAACATTTAACACGTTGATCGCCATGAGCTCTAAAATGAGATCTCACAAAACTTTGTCCTCACCGCCAAGGTTTTTTTTTAATTGTACTCAAAAAATGTGTGAATATTTTTTTCTCGGATTTTTTCAAAAATGTGTTAAGTATTTATAAAAAATGGTTTCTAATAAGTTTTTTTATAGTTTCAAGTTAAATAGAGCTGAGATTTCGCATTATATCTCGTGGCCGTAGGATATCACTTTTTTGTAAAATTATTGATATTACTACTACTGTGAGATCTTCAAATAAATATCATACCAAAGATTACCATTAAATGAGATCTTAGATTAAATCTCAACCATTTGTTTATTTTAAAATAAAAACTATAATTCTAAATTGATAACTTCAATATTATAACCCCAGTTTAGATCATCATCCATGTCATCTTATGGAGAATAGTCAAATGATGAATTTAAAATTTGATTTCTATCGTTAGTGTCCAATATATTTGTATTTTGTATACGAATAATATTATAATATGCAAGTTGTAACACAGTACGTATTTTAACAAAAGTTATTCTATTTCATTATCTAGCTACGTTATTTTCAAAAAAATATGCAAATGGATCAATGATAAGATTATCATGGCATACATACATTTCAAAATATTATAGAAAAAAAACTGATAATGCTAGACGCTTGCTAAAAAGACCGAATGAAAGTGGCAACACTGTACAAATCTCATCAATCGAAAATAATTGTGAATGAGATCTCTAAAAAAAATCTCACGACCAATTTTTTGAAAAAAATTGAGATTTAGAATTACATCTCATGGCTGTTACAAGTAACAAAGTAAAAAAACCCGAGGCGGTCAACGTGTTCAGTACATCTTTTATCTTAAAGTAAGTACCCAAAAAGCCTACGCCAATGACAAGAGTTGATGGATTTCAAACATTAATATGTTAGCTGTGTTCAATCTACTGCCAAGTCCCAAATAAATATTGTTCGGACTAAAATGCGAAATGCAATGATTAACGATTGATCGAAACTGTGAATATTCTTTGCCGTTCAGTTGGTTATCATTGGTTATTTCATGCAAAATGCTTTTCTCGGGACTCCAAAATTCCTAGAAATAAAAATTAACATAGATTTTTTAGTTTCGTGACGCTTTTCGGCAAATTGGTCGTCGCAAAATCATATTCAATGCTAAAAAAAAAAAAAAGACAATATCGAGTCGATTGGACGGGGTCGGAGGTTGAATTTGTGTTAACCTGGTCGCATTAAAAAGCTTTGTGAAAGAAAAAAGTAGTATAAGCATAGTGGGGACGGAGAGGTCACAGGTCTACAGATTTTATTATAACTGAAAGTGATATCACTTTTAAATAAACGCTTCCATGCGAATATGTGGATAGTATGTTCAAACCAGTTATAGCGGTTTAGAAGATATCGTGAGACCAGCAATAATGTACTTAAAATTTAATATTTAGTCTTGTGCAGGGTGGATACGATAAGGGTTGATCGTCTGTCTATAAAAATGTATTGCCATAGTTACCCATATATCGTAATTAACAATATAATTAAAATATTTTCATTACCCGTTGACTGTTGATTCACACACACATAGCAACCTAGAAACTGACTACGGCCAAAGTGTAAATTTACCCTATTTTTGGGGTTTTTCTTTAATAAAAAAAAAAATTTGACTACAGATTTTTGAGAAAATTGTAATGTTATAGTTCCATTTTAGATCTACCTTTGGTCTAATTTTCAGATCTAAATCTCTAAAACTTTGCTTGAAAAAGTGAAATAAATAAAAAAATTCTATCCCTTCTAAGGGAAAGAGTTTATGCTATTTTTTTGGTTTGTTAATGTTTATCGATAGTACTATGTTTGAAGAACAATTCATATAAATTTGGAACATTTTCGACTATTTTTAAAAAAGTTATAGAGTATTGTAATTTTAAGTTGAAAAATTTGTAAATTTTTTAGGTGTTTTTCTCGATATTGATGAGGAAGGGGTGACTTTTTTTAATTTTTGGCCCGTCCAATAGAGTACCTTCCAGGTATGATTTCTGATCTATAGAGTTGCTACATGAAGAAATCGGTTCAGCGGTTAACGAGATATCGTGGGTCCAGATACAAAAAAAAAAAAAAATTCAAAAAAACATCATTGTAAAAACAATACCTTCTCAGCTCCGCATCGAAGCTAAAATAAATCATCATTAACCATTTCTCCAGAGCAGTAGAAACGTTTCCTTTTGATCATTTTTAAGTTGTATTATTAAAATTTAAGGTAAAAAAATTAAACTGAAGATAACTTAACAAATTAACTGACAAGCTATATCAGAGCTTTTGAGAGTAATAATTATATGAAACCGAACATGGGAATGTGAGCTCCCCCTCCCCCCACCCGCAGGAGTAAAGAGGATTTTACAAAAACAGTATTTATATTTATATATATGTACACATGTAAATAAACTATGGCTAATGAGGGGAAGTCATGTGATCAACAATTGGTTCTGAGTTCAAACCACTCAATGGTTCTGTATTAAAAAATATATATATATAATAATAATAATAATAATACAAACAACACTGCTACACTAAAAGCACCACGACTTTTTTTGTTTTCAAATAGCAACAATTGGAATCAATATTAAAAAAAACCAACTGTATACAATTTTTAGATAGTACTATGTTTGAAGAACAACTCATATAAATTTGGAACTTTTTCGATTTTTTTTAAAAAAGTTATAGAGCATCGTAATTTTAATTTGAAAAATTTGTACATATTTTAGATGTTTTTCTCGATTTTGATGGGGAAGGGGTGACTTTTTTTAATTTTTGGCCCGAATAAAGTACCTTCCAGGTATGATTTCTGATCTATAGAGTTGCTACACGAAGAAATCGGTTCAGCGGTTTACGAGATATCGTGGGTCCAGATACAAAAAAAAAAAAAAACACATCATTGTAAAAACAATACCTTCTCAGCTGCGCACCGAAGCTAAAACAGAAAGGTCTGAAGAGTTTTGAAGTGAGTGGTGTGAGACTATGCCCTCTTTTCTGCTGTTCAACGAAGGGGTTGTATAAGCTACCCCCCTTGTCCACTGTTCGGGTCGATTCGCCCCATTCGAGTGCAAGCCAGGAGTGAAAATCTTTGTTGGCCTTTGACAAACCGTTTGTCTAAAGCAGCCAATTCGTAGTGGGCTGTGCACGGGACACCCGCCGGTCACGGCGCATACAGAATCCATCATCGCATTATACTGTGCAGGTAAATCAATACCCGTATTGATCCCGTTAACCCGTTTATTAAACGCAAAGCCAGTACACATAGGCGTGCGCAGACTTCAATTTCCGGTCGAGCTTTGAACAATATTAGCGCCCCAATACTTGGACAGTGCCCCTACATTTATTTTAATAGTAAACATACATTCTAACTGTAAATTAAAAACTGGTTAATGTACATACAACATATTTTTATTTCTAGACGCATGTTATTGAAGTTAAATACAAAATTTTAAAATCATACAACATAAATATAAATATGTTAAAAAATAAAAAAATAAAACATTGCCCAAAATGAAAGAAAATGTTAATTATTAAACCAATTAAAAAATAAAAATGAAATATACGTATATCAATACATTATACATATAAAAATATTTACTGATGTATTATTATTATTATAAATGAAGAATTATACATAAATTCTTCTATTTTCCATAGCTTTGAATTCGTCAATCACCATGTCAATGTCGACACTAGATGTTAGTTCTGGTTCAGTAAACATTAATAATAAATCATTTAGCCGGTCTTTGAGCATGGTACTCCTCAATTTATTTTTTACTATTGTTAATTTTGAAAATACTCTTTCGCAGGAACAACTTGTAACTGGTATTACAGTAAATAATTTTAGTACGGAGTAAAATCCATTAAATGAGTTTGTGTAATTGTTTGATTTTATCCAATCGAGCCATGAATGGATGGATTCATTATTATTAGTATTAATATCTGGTTTATTATTAGTGGTAGCCGGTAAATATTTTTAGTTTTATTACACTATCACAAATCACAACAAATTAAATGCTTATGATCTTCACGAACATATTATTTTACAATATGGATTTTAGTAAAATGTACACGCAAATTTAACTATACAAAAAAAAAAATTGGCCCCCTACAAAATTTCCGGTCGAGCCCCGTGCGCACGCCTATGCCAGTACAGTGGGGACGGAATGGTCGCAGGTCTACAGAAATTATTATCACATATCCGCAATAGCACAGTAAGGAAGTATAATACAGAATACTTAGGGGGAACGGAAAGCGCTATTTGTTAAGGGGCAAAGGATAGGCAATATTTTACAAAAAATGTATCTCGTATCCATTTTTCATATGCCTACTAATTTCAAGGTGAACATATTATATTAAAATTTTCTAATTATAATACTTTTAAAGTTATTTTTCTCCGCGTTATGACGAAAGTTTGATAAAAAAATGACTGTCGTAGAAGTCATTTTCTGGCGTATCTATTGGACGGATTTCAAGTTTTTTATGCTTTTTTTGTGAACCTTACTATTTTTTCTGTGGGGGCTAAAAGTGAGTAAATAAGGGAAGTCCAGTGTAAACAGATAAAAAATATATCATTAAAAAGTATTGTACGTAATGACGATAATGTGCTTGAAAATTAATTTTTAATATTAAAGTGGATACGCTTATAAAGGGTATGTACCCATGTACCTACCGTAATAACAATATAATGAAAATAGTTTAGGAATTTCTAATAAGCGTTTTAATTTATTTATTTTTGTCAATAAAGTGCTGAACAGTATAAATGTTGTCTAATATTAATATATTCACATGCATTTTGAGAGTATAACTGATATGGACAATTTTTCATAATTACAGCAATACATTATACAGTCTTTTTGTCAGTATGCAGACGTTAATGTCGTTAATGGAATTATTTAAAAGTTGTAAAATTGAGCCTTTGTTCTAATCAAAACGTTTTAAACTGATAGTTAATATTTATTTAATAAAAAAACACGTCTTGTTCTGTTTATGAAATATAACATTTGTATAATATTCTATAAACATGCTTTTTTTTCCTTTATTTTACATATACGATCTATACAATTTTAGTACAATAAGTTTATATGATGACACAGGTAAATTATAGACATTGAAAGCATGAAAAGAGAAGCCGTCCACTGACGACACTCTTATTAACTTCGTTTTTAATTAATTGTTAGTGAGAAGGTCTCTGCACCACTTTCTTTTAAAAGTCTTTTTGGTGGGTTGTTGGGCATTGAGGGTAATGTGAGATTATTTATTAGGGGATTTGGGTGATTTTTAAGAGAATTATGGTAACGTCTGTAGTGGTCTTTGGCAACTTGTGATAAACATGCTTAAACAAAAAACATAAATAAAAGTGCCGTACAGAAAACAATATTAACTTTGAGAATATTACAACATTCAAAAGTGGTTATTACAATATTTTACATAGCAATTATGACTTTTTTTTTAGTCACAGTTGTACTTCGGTTTGAAAAATAACACTTATTAGGTGTTATTTTTTCAAATAAAATAAAATCATGTTTTTTCATTACAGTGTGTTCCGTTATGTGCACAGAGCCAATAATTCTACCACGATATGAAATAACAAAAAAAAAAAAAAAGGACATTTTTATAAGAGAAAGCGCAGTGTCTCGATTATGCAGTTGCCAGTTATTTATTTGCACATTATTGATTCTACTCTGGCGGCAGCCCCAGACGACCCAGCGCGTACCGCACGGTGAACAGTTATTATATATTAGTATTGCATTGTAACCCGTCAGGAGGTACCTGGTGGATTATTGATTAATGTGCATTGTCAGCCAGGCGAGAAGTCCCGCCCACCGGTCCCGGGGATCGATTAAACTGTGCAAAAGGATAGTCAAATTAATGTTATAGACACTAGCAGAAAAAAATTCCCGAACCGACAAACACTGGTTGTCAGTTTCCAGATAAACTTTAAACATAAATCATAATACAACCTACTATCATTGATTAAGTGTATTTAATCAATGCTACTATGTAGTATTAATAAGTATTAACAAATTGTAGATCATATATATATGTATGTATCATAACGTGTCCATATTATACATTTAATATATTGTGTTGTACATTTTTCTGAATTTCAACATTTTGTTTGTACAATAAATTATATTAAAACAAGTACATGGTTTTGTTTTATTTACACAATAATTTTGTCCATTTGAAAACTTGTAACATTGAGCAAAAAATTATAATTACAATTTTAAGTCTTTTTGTAGATACATATCCATATAATAATAAATTAAGTTGTCAAAAATTGTAAAGAACTTCGAATTGAGTTAGGGATTTCAAAAGAGCTAATGTCATCATTGATGGTAAATTTTTACAGCTCCTGTTCATGTATTATGCACTAAACTAAAACGGTAAAAAACAAAGAGCGCATTGTTACAAATAATATTAACTTTATAAATTTAGTTTACTAAGGTACTTTTTTAACAAAAGTACACTTAGTCATTTTTAAGGAGTTTTGTATAGGCAATATTTAAGAAAAAAGTGGTTTAAATAAATTTTGACCATGTCAATTAATTTGCTGGTTAATTTGTATAAGCTTTATGGTATTATTTTTAATTTAAATTATTTTGTCTATGAGTTAAAGTCATTTTAGTTAATATAATAGTACATTTTTTGTAAATCGCACAGGCTGAACCAGTGATCCGATTAGTAATCTGAAAACAGATTTGAATTCGTTATGAAGTTTACTTGGTATCCTACAAGGTACTTTTTTGATATCTTTTCTTACTATGAACAAGAAATGTTTGAACATTTTATAAAATTTCAATTATTAAAATCAAATTTGTAAAGGGTTAAAATTCAAAATTGAAAAAAGTGCCTCGTAGAATCTCAAGTGGACTTCATGACTGATTTAAATCTGTTTTCAAACTACTTATCGGATAACAGGTTCGGCCTGTGCGATGGACAAAAAATGATTTGTTTTGACTGAAAAAACGTCCGGTATCGAATCCCCTTAACTTGGATTAAAAAAAATAAAAATCAATATATTGTTAAAAAGTACATCATAGATAGCGTTAGTTGCTCTTTTGAAAATACCGCAATGGCAGCACAATATACGCCGACGCCATGACAACGCAGAAATGTTATCATATTATCATTTTCACGTTTTTCTCTTATCTTTCATTACTCAATGCTTACTAATTTGTGTACTTAAAAAAGTAAAAACCGAAGAAAAATATCATTTTTCAACCAACGGTTTTGTTATAAACTGTATTTCGATCCATTACTGTGTATTTTTATACACTTTGAATACTATTTAAATATAATATAGTAATTATAAATACTCCGACTATAGGAATTATGATGTCAACTTCTGGACCAGGTAAAGTATAATATTTTTGGATTACATTTGTAGTAGGAGCGATGGAAAATAGTATTATTATTATTATTATAATACAATTATGAAACTAAGCAATGTATCTAGGCCAAATGGCAAACAGTTAAAATGTTTATACGACGAAAATTATATTTAATTCTATTATTTAAAGCCATACAAATTGTGACGTCATAAGGACTCTCTTGGGCTTGGCCCGGGGAAGAACTCTCTGCTTAGCATTAACTAGGGGGAGAACGTTTTGTATTTACCTGTGTTTTATGCTATTATACTTATTGTCAAAGTATAATCGTAAACCTTTTACAATCACCTTTTAGTTTTAAGTTAATTCTAAATAGCGTATACTAAGACAACCTTTTTTAGTGATCAAAATTGCAAATAGGCCTTATTCCCTAAGTTCTATATTTACAGAAATCCGGCCTTATCTGGCACTAGGTATAATTAGAAATAGGCCTTAATAACGATTAAAAACCGTATTAGGTGTTCTGGTAAATTATTATTTAGTGTGAGTTAGTTCGTCTAGCTGAAGTATAGTATTGAAAGGTTTAGGTGTTCTGGGCATTGGCTTTAATTAACTTTAAAGAATCCTGGTATAACTATTTTTAAAAGGTATTACGTAGTGTCAATTTGAGCGTATCGAGTTAATACCATATACGACACATTATTTTAAGTAACATAGGTAATCATCATAATAAATATTCTATTCTATGTCTAGATATGAGCCAAAAATCGAAAAAAAGCGTGATCACACATTCTAGTGAATACACAATGGACCAAAACTCACAATTGGGTTTTTCAAGGTAAACAAAAAAGTAAACTTCAAAGCAATTATCAGGGCCGTAGCAAGGGAGGCCACGCCCTGGCGCAAAATTAAGAAATTAGATAAATATATAAAATCTTTATTTATTAACAAAAATCCAACAAAGTAATGTATTATTGTATTATAATGAACAAGTTATTAATATTTTCAAAAAAGTAATTTTATTGTTGGGATAAAATAACAGCGTATCGTCTCGTTAAATGATGTTTTCGGTCGAATCCACCGTCAGTCTATACAGCTTTCATTGCATGAAAAAAAAAAATTAAGCCAATATGAATGTTCGGATTTTAATGTTTAAACTTTTAATGCATGAATCCGGGAAATAATAACTTTTGTAAAAAATTGTTGTCTGATATTGTTGAGCCCTTTTTCATTTTATATAACGATTCGCTGTTATTACAACTTAGATTTAACCACTGGATTTAAATTTCTCGCCAATTCAATTATTGCCCTGTACCCATCGGTTATATTAAAATCATCTGGGAACCCAGCCTGTCTCCTTGCGGGTAAATGAGGTAATGCCATGATCTGTTGGTTGTATATTATTATTAGTGTATTTTATTATTATTAATTTTTTTAGATAAAACAAAATTACCATTCTCAGAACTATTGCCATATTCATATTGTTCCGAACCTGGTTAACGAGATTATTGGTTTGTATAAACCGTATTATGCTCTGTAAAATAGAATTTTTTTTAATTTTGATAATATTTTATTTTAATTTGTTTAGTGGGCTAACCTGATTATAGTGAAACCAGCAACCCATTAACTGAGCCTCTGATATTACCCTTCTGACTGCATTTCGTAACGCAGTTTCATAATCGGTTATGACTTGGAGGTTACCCCAGTTTGCCACTTGGAATTGCAGCTCCTCTTTTAAATATTGTAAAAGTCGTATACAAACATTTTCTGAAGAAAAAAAAAAGGTGCCCGGTAAAGTACATTTGTTCCTGACTTTGTCGTTAATACATCAATTTTTTATGATTTATGTTAAATATCTTATTGGCCAAAGCTAAATGTGTTTGTTCAAAGAACTCGCCTAGCAACGTTATTACGTCATGCCGATAATGTCATTCTGGGCGGCGATCTCAATTTGGATTTACAACCAATCGTTTAGGTTGGGTTATTTGCAACCCAATCTTTATTAGGGTTATAAAGGGTTATTAGGGTCATATTTATATAGTTCATTTTGCTCGTTTGTGTTGTTTGTAAGATATATCCACGTGCCAATGTATCCGCATACAGCATTGATAATTTTTGTAAAATGTTTGCCAAATTATTAGTTTTTGAGGAGGCTAATGGCAGAACGGGTAATTCGTTCAGTGTGTTATCAGTCACTGTCGCTAGCTTGACATTTGGTCTTGCAATTCTATTTGCTAGGCGGGATGTTCTCTTGTGAAACGCGGTGACGAACAGTACCAAAAGCGTAGTTGTTAAGAACCATCTCAAAAAAGTGAAATGATTTTAACAAAGTATACCTACATTTTTTTACGTATAATGATGCCTTTTAGTTCTTTTATTACATTATTGTATCATTGTAACGACAAATAGGAGTTATTAAATTTATTATTATATTTTTTCAAAATCTGATGACTATTAGGACTACAATATTTTGTTACACCCTAAAATAGAACATAATTTATTACCAAGGATTTACCTCCCAGTTTTTATAATTAAATTATGTTTCAATGTTTTAGTATCGATGAAGTGAAAAATGCGGCGCCAATTGAAATGGATGAAACATACGATTGTGATGAGCCCATGATGTTTATAGTAGACGGAAATGTTCTTTTGAGCTCAGAAGTTACCATGTAAAGTATTTACAGTTTTAACATTTTGTTGATTCAATTAAGACATTATTATTTGTAGTTTCTTCATAATATAGTAATTCAGATCAATTTTTTAATGTGTCTTGTTTTTTTAGTGATGATGAAATGAAAAATGAGGCACCAATTGAAATAGAAGGAACAGTTGAATATTTCTATGAGAACACAATACATATACAGAAAGAAAATGATATGCTGAACACACTTACCAAGTGAAATATTTACAATCAATACATTTTTTAAATTCAATTGAGACTGGCTTGACTTTTCTAAAATGTACAGTGTAGCTTCTTGAACAAGAAGGTCTTAAAATTCTGTTTCAAAACCCAAATATTTTGTATTATCCAGAAATTATGTGTCCTAGCGTTGTCAGTATTTCATCATTACAAGACACTATTAGGCCCCCGTCGTGGTAACTTGTTCAGTTAAATTTTTTTTGTTAAAAAAAAAATTAAAAATTAAATAATCAAAACATGTGTTGTGGCAAACGGCATGTTACATAGCAGTATGTTTTACATGTTAAGCGATACCATCATTCAAGTTCAAATAACCACTTCTTATTAGACTTACTTTTTCTTTAAATTAATAGCTGATGTCATCTGAGCTAGACATTACATTTGCAAGTTACTATAATTTTAATTTAATATTTTTGAATTTAATACCGAAATAGATGTAGTAAATGATTGTTGCAAGGGTTGTGGTAATTAAAAAAAAAATAGGCTTTTTGATGAGATAACGGCAAAGTATGATTCCTACTCAAAACGGCGTTTTGTATAAACTTAAACATGACAATTTTGCTTGTTGTTAGGAAAAAATCAAGTTGTTTTTGGAGATGTATGATATTTATAGCTGAGCAGACCAGTTGTATTTTGTGGAGTGTATATTCCTAATGTAAAATGACAGGGTGGGCTTAGAAAATAATAATAATTTAATAGAAAGATGTCAACTTCATCAATATAGTGTATATGAATCAGCAACCGCCATTTATATAAATCTTATGAACACATTGTCTTACCCTTTGTTAGATTAAAAATAAAACTATGCTTACATTATTTAAGTTTAGAACATAAAAACGTAATTCGTCCTGCATTAACTAGGAAATGTAATTATATCTCCTCTAAGTAATTAAATATCTAAATGGTTAATTTTTTCATCCAAAACTTTTTTTTTTATTATGAAAAGTAGATTTAACTCTTATTATCACATATTATTATGTTAAAACTGAAATGAATATAATTTTGATCAAACTACTACCACTTGTACTATGTTTTGTCTAATATAAATACCTTGCCTTTCTAGGTTGTGTATATTAATCATACTTACTAAATTTAAAAGAAAATATAATATTATTATGTAAAAAATTGAAAACAATATTAAAATGTATCTTAGTAATTATTAATTTAATTTGTACTGTTATGTTTGTTCTAGTGTAAATGAAATTACCAATGAAGCGATTATAATTGATGTAATTAATCATCTAACAAAAACCTATGAACATTCGGACAAATATCAATGCGGTTAGTGTGAAAAAATGTTTTTTGCCGTAAGGCAAATAGTCTGTCATTTAATTTATGTCCACAATACTCGTGTATATGTATGCAAGACTTCACTCACAAATAACGAACGAGTGCCTATTGCAGTAGAACTGTACAAATGTGACGTATGCGTCAAGTACTTTACTACTCGTACAAAATCTTACCTTGTAGTACACAAACGTATCCATACTGGAGAAATGCTTTATGATGTGTATTTTGCACTGATATAATTTTTTTTTGGTTCTAGACGTGCAATGTGGATTAATAATTGTGTCCCCGAATTGGCTGGCAAAAACGTCATCGTTGAAGATGTTCAGATAATATGTCAGAATCATTTTGAAGACAAAATGTTCCTGAATGTTAATCATAAAAACAGGTTAACGGATAATGCTGTTCCTACCCTCTTTAACGGTAAGATATATCTAAAACTAATATCAATATGTTCTAGATAATTTAAAAATATATACTGTATATTTTATGTTGTAAGGACTAACAATTATTGGCTTTAGATGACATACTGGCTAAACGAGTAAGTCACAACGAGACGGCGTCATTTGAATTTGTCTGCACCTTTTTGTCAGTTTAGATTACTAGGTAAGCGTTCATACCAACAATGATAGGCTGATAGTGTTATCAGATAGAGTTGTTGTTACCACATTTTCTAGAGTAAAATAATAACACTATCGAGTTTGATCATATTTTCATCTAAATGTAATTGTATTAGTATTCTGGGTAAAAAAAAAAAATTGTTAAATTTCCAATTTTCAGAGTATCTTAATTAATTTTTAAATAATATATAAAATTTGAAAAAAACATTTGATCAACAGAACTAATATTGAACACTAAATTGATGTAATTGAATAATATTGTTTTGAATTGTTATTACAAGTAGAAAAAACGACACCATTGGACAGGTCATGCAAGTAACAAACAGCTTGGTGGAAGAGAAATGCGATTTGTGATTAGAGTCGTTTACGTCTAAAGAGGGATTGAAACATCATATTACAACATCACACAACGGTATTCCTGCAATCGATGTAGGTTCAATGAAACAAAAAGAAGAAAATAGAATTGTATTATTTAAGTAGGTTACGTCTTTTCCGCAGTCTATCAATTTATATACTTTTAAATAATCAGTGATAGTTTTATGATTGCTTTCAATTATGAAGAAGAGAAGCAACTGACAAAAAAATCCTGCATAGTGAGGATAGAGAATATTAGGACAGGGGGAAGTTGGTTTATTCGCACAATATAGTAACCTAGAAATTGACTCCCCTTTTTTTTTAGTATATCCTTAAAACATATAATGCAAATTATGGTTTTTTTCAAGTTTCACTCACAATATTAATTAAAAGTAAAATACATTTTAGCCAATAATATGATAAACAAAAATAAATGGTTTGCTGTATAAAATTATGTAAATAATAATTTTTGTAAAACGTTATTATTTATTGTTAGACTTCGTAATATTTTGTTATGGTGTCAATCATATGACTAATGAAGTGACCAAAGAAAATACCGAAAACATCAGCCAACGCTACAATTGTGATGTGTGCTGTAAAGATTTTTCTTATAAATTGACCCTTGCAAACCACAGACGCATGCACACTGGTGAAAAGCCTTATAGCTGTGATATTTGCTTAAAGTCGTTGCACAAAACACAAACACTCGCACACTGGTGGAAAGATGGCTCACAAATGTTATGTGTGTTTAAAATCATTTTCTCGAAAATCCCAATTCGCACAACACGGATGCGTGCCCACTGGGCGATAGGCCCTACAAATGTGATTGACCGTTATTCATTTGATCAGTTTGTAAATAAATTGCATTAAGTAGAGTAATTGTAACTCGATAGGCCATGTAAGTGCAACTGCTAGTGTTTAATCGATGCTCTTTAATTTTAATTAAATTTTACTACAATCATTAGATGTGTAAGCGATTTAACGTAAACAAAAACAAAAAAAATGTTTTTTGTAATTAAGTTGATGTAACCATCTTAACAATGCAGACTTTTTTTTATTGAATGTATGACATTGTTATTGTTTTTGTTATAAATATATTGTTACTATTAGCTATTTTAATTGTTTTTGGTTTATTTATTATTTGATCTATTATTGTTTATATTATGTTGTGAGCCATAATACCTCCTACGTATTAAGAATTTTGTCAATCGTCGTGACAGTTTTTAATGAAAATTGAAAGCTATAATTAGTATATATTTATAAATACAGGGTGATCCAACTAACGTAAGACACTCATTTTCTCTGAAAGTATGAATATTTTGCAAATTTTTTTTTTCCTAAAATTTTAGGTACATATTTAGCTACATTTTTCAATATTTAGAAAAATTTTATCTTCAACCCTTATACGTTAAATAAGTACGAACCTCGTTTTTTCAAATGGGAACATATGTTTTAAATTCCATAAATATAAAGACAAAAAATCTAAAAAAATGTTAGCGTTTGAATTTTTAATTTTCATCCATTTGTTCGCTGTTTATGACTTTGTAAAGATTTGAATTTTTGTCTATACTTCTTAATAATTTCATTCGATTCGACAAAGACAAGTAGTTTTATTACGACGGTCATCACATCAAATATAATAATAATTTGATGTTAACGCATTCCGTATCATAATCAGATATAATAAATAACCATACATTATTAGACGAAAGGTAGACTGTTACGGATAACGGACTTTACACTTTAACCTAATCTAGCTGGAGCTAGTCATTAGCTGGTTATCTCGGATAACAATCTAGTATCTAACCTATGTATCAGTTACCACGGAATAATCGAGTGACCAGTACCCATAATATATTTTATTATTTGTACAAAATCGCATTATATTTATTATTTGTACATAACCTCATCGCTAACAAATTTCGACTTCGAAGTTCACACGTTTACATTAGTGAAATGAGGAATTGCAAACTTAATTAAAAAATGTTAGTAAATTTACATTTTACTTTATAGTAAATATGATAGCATGCTTATTGTAGTTATGTCATAACTCGTTATTTTATAATTTTTTAAATATATTAATTGATAATATTTGCTCTCGACTTTATTTTGACGTTACATTCTTGGACACACCATTAATTTAATAGGTAAGTGTATTAAAGTTTAATAGATAATTTAATACAATACGAATTCAATTAGCTTTTTTATTTTAGGTTGAATGCTTTTTTCCGAAAATCTTTTATCATTTAAAAATCAATGTTATCATGTCAGAAATATCTATGGCGTTGAGAATAGGCTATACCAATTACTATGGAAATGTCTTTTCAATTGGACCCAAGACTGAAGACCTTACAATTTTAAATCAAGGTGTAAATTATACATATAAAGCATTAATTTAATAGGTAAGTTTATTAGAGTTTAATGGGTAATTTAATTCAATACGATTTCAATTAGCTTTTTTAATTTAGGTTGAATGCTTTTTTACTGAAAATATTTCATCTTTTAAAAACCAATGTTATCATGTAAAATTGGTTTTGAGTATGACATATCAATTGCTATGGAAATGTCTTTCCAATCGGACCTAAGACCTTACAATTATATATCAAGGTGTAAATTATAAGTATAAAACATTTATTTCTAATGTGACATTTTTTCATGTGAATGTATAATATCAACACTAAGCAATTTGAATGAAAAGTGTGTTGTGTTAACTTAAAATAATTATTAATGCATGTATTTGTGTATGTGGGTTGATAATACTCATATACCCGTTTCATTTATTTTTAAAAATATCAGTAATTAATGTATGAATTTCATACTACTACATACAAGGAATCGCTTCTTGATTATACCAATATTTATAATAATATGTAAGTATATTATTTTTATTTGATTAAACTTATCTAAGGTAGTTCAAATGTCTGCTTTCAGTTTAGTTATTTCTTACAATGATATAACCCATATATTGTGTGTCTGACATACATTACGGATATTTTATCATAAAGTTTTAGCTATAACTGACACAGGTATTTGGCTATCAAAGTTAAATTTTATATCAAATTTATTAATATACAATAATTCTCTCTTTTAAAAAGTAGTAATTCTATTAATTTGTATTTAATGAATTCAGTAAATCAAGTAAATTATTTTTTTGAACTTGCCTAAGATAATTCTTATAGTTAATTTTATTTATTGAATTTTGATTTTGTTAGATTTGTTTAATTACCAACGATTGTTAAAAGAAAAAAATTTAAATCAGTATAATAGAAGTTGAACAATTTCAAATGTATAGATATTGTTTTTGTTTAATATTTTTGATTGAATATTTTCAAAATAGTAACATTTGTAATTTTTAAATTTATTGTTGTATTAATAATTAGTTTATGAATATTTTATTAGTTAAATACTTATGTTATCAGACAAAAGATTATTATTGTTCTTTAAATGTTATACTATTTTATATATTTGTCGTTGAAATTTATCAACACAATTGTTTGACTATGTGTTATCAATGTTCAAATTTTGTAAAATACACAGTAAAAATTAATAAAAATTGTTTTTAACTCTTTAAAGTAGGAAAATTGTCGCATACGCATTACAGCAAATATTCTTTTAACCATTATTTGCATCATTAAAGGTAAACAAATTTTATTTTTAACAACTATGCATTATAAGTTAGTATAATTGATTTTATAATTATTTGTGTTCATACATAAATATAGTATACATGTATGTATGTGTATAAAATCGGACAAACTTGTCGCGTACAAATTCCATAAAATTTAAATCCTTAATAATGTGTTTTATTTCAGAATAATTGTTAAATTTAGATACTACAATTTAGCTAAGTCTATTTTTGATTTAATATTGCCACTTTTACATAATATTAGTAAAACGTACCCGTTATAATAGTTTAATAATGTCAATACTTTAATTTGTATAGTAAACAAGGAAATATCAAATAATGGTTTTCTTTTTAAACAACTAAAATCTATTAAGCTTTTAATTTTCTAGATATTAAATAGTGAAGAAAATAATAAAAATAAGAAAATACTGACTATACATAAAATCAAAATAGCAGATTCAACTGTAAAAGAATTAACTTTTCAATTTGAAATTTTTGAAACAGACATATTTTATTATAAAGGCTTTAGAATCACTATTATTATAACATTATACACCTTATAAGTTATAATAATAATTAGTAAGTACTAATAAAAAGATAAGAACATATAAACTATTTAATTTAATAGTTATTAATAAAATAAAAAAGACAAGTTCTGATAATTTAATGTTTGCGTGACACAAACCCTAACTTTATTTCTGAAGTTTGAGTATCACTGTGTGATTTTGTGTAATTGAGTCACAAACTATTGATCCATATTTTTA